GTATTTCTTCTAAGGGGCCGAATTTGTTCTGTACAGTTATTCTGAATGTATCTTGCATTTCTTTGTTTGATTGGAGTAATGCCATGTTTAGTTTCATATTCTTGTTCTTGCTCATGTGTGTTCTTGCTGTTATTCTTACCTCCCCTTAAAAATCGAGAACACATGAAAATGAATAGATCTCATTGAATTCTGCAAAAAAAACCTGACCAGATAGACCAAAACTAACGAAATATTAGGAATCAGCACAGCAATGTCCAAATAACTTCACATTTTCGTTGCTAAAGGGCCGTTTTTCATCGTTGACCAGTGGAATGCAATGCGCAAGCGAAAAACTCTGCTTTTGGTTTGTTTTGGTTGCGAGGTTTAAAATCCAAGTCAAAGTCATTTCTATTCTAACGACAGCATGTCATATTAATGCAGTTTAACTTTTTATTAATCGTACGTTTTCAGCTCACTGTGCATAAATTTACATTATCACTGTTTTGTTTGGTGTTTATTTCGCGGACGGAGACACACGGGTAGGATAACTTGTAAGTTAGCGTGGCTGAAATTAAAGGAAAACAATCCAGATTTTTTTCCAATCCTCACTCTGACTCCGATTGGCATGAACATTTTGTTTTCTTATGAGGTTCTAGAACAGATCCTCAGGTCCAATTGGCTGGTCATTTGAACTTTGTTGGTCTGAATGTATTTAGCCAGTTGATATTAGTAAACAATAAAGAACTCGTTATGACCATGATTTATCCAACTTGTGTGAAATTGGCAGTTGTAATCACTCGTTGAAATTCGTGATTACAACCTGACAATATCACTCGTATGATAAATCATGATCGAACACCACAACTCATGCAAGAATTATTCATATCTAGCACCCACTTTTGCCACCTTTAAGAGGCTAAAATTTTCATACCGTTCAACTGTGTATCTCTAAGCGGGGCATTGAATCATTTCTGCCACTACCCGAGTAATTCCCATTGTTCACCAAACTAACCTAATCTCCTACTAGTACTAGAGGGCGATACCACATACGTTGGTAAGCACTAGTGTAAAGTGCTACTGATTATCAATCTGTGATTTTGGACACTTGTGAGATGTCTTCTAGAGACAATGACAGACATTTTTCCTGTGTTCAGTCCGCATTGACCAGACCCTGAGCACCTCATATCGACGCACGCGTGGGTGGGGGATATACTTTATTTTTGTCACGAAAAGTGAACGTTACCACCAGCTTAAGCTACTTTAGGGTCACAAAATTATCATCCATCATTTTTAGTGACCTTTGCTGGGATCATTGAAGGAATAAGGGTAAAATTAAAGTATCGCCCCCTTGCTTTTGCGCCTCACGACGATCGCAGTCCGCATTTTTCTGTTCCTCTCTGTCATAGCACAGACACCTCTGTGACCCCAGTGGTGACGACGGGGTTTCCGCGCAAGCTTTAAGCATGTTTGAACCGAAATTAGTTTCAAACCTGGACTATCAGCAAAGTGCAGCAACATAGAATAACAGTTTTAAGAAACGAAATGTCTTAGAAAAACATTAAAAAACACAATAATAGACAGACAAATAAATGGAGACATCAGACTTTAAGTGAGCGTCGAATTGAGCATCAAATGCATAAAGAGACCATAAATAAGGGTGTTTGGACATGTAATGACCCCCCAAACCCGCAATATCACGATTACGGGTCCGATAGTCTAACCACTAGAGTACAGACGTAACAGACGGACTCTCAGGGGTAAAAGTTACAAACAGTACTGCTTTGGATTGTACGTTTACGTTTTAAAGGGCCATCTTTTCGGTTTACCGTGCAAGGCAGCTAAATTTACAGACGCTCTTTCAAAAGAAAACATCTGCGTTGTACATATATTGTATAAAATAAAGAGAAACACATGAACACAATAACGGCCAATAACGACAAGAAAAAGTAACACATATCTTTTTTTTAAGGGGGAGGGAAGAAGTTGGACCTCCTAGTCAGTGGCCCCTTCAATTAACTGTATGGAAACTTTTTAAAAATTAATTAATTAATGCAGAGAGAAAACATAAAATAAAGGGATGTTCTCCCCTGAGTTTTCATTTGAAACTTTTATTTCAAGAAAGCGATATACACAGACGAAGCATTAGCATATAAACGTATAAAAAATAAGGATATACATTGAATTAAAAGGAGTACTTGATACTCAAGACTTTATTTTAAAACAAGCATGGAAATAAAACATAAGCATGCTTACAGAAAAAGGATAAGAGATAAATCAATAATCACATCTTTATTTATTTGAAAGCGGAAAAAACAACCTCCCAATGATTATTTACACTTTCTGTGTTTGGCCTCATCTTATCCCGCCAACAAGATCGGGTTAATAGTACCAACCGACTGCTAGTGAGCACGTGACTGACACACTTAGACAATAATACGAGGAGGTCTGTAGTTCTGGTAAGTGTTTTACGAGGGGGGTTCAAGAAGTCTTTGATCGAAATATGAAGGAATAAAGATAGAGCTTTGTAACTTGGCACATATACTTTTATTTCTCTACATAGCCAAAATGTAGAGTAACAAATAACTGCCACCTCTCTTTAACCTTTAGAAATCCATGAGAGAAAAATGACCCAGAATGGGCGCCTAACCAGTCTTCAAAAGCTTCAATAGCGTCCTCGTTGTCATGGAAACGACATCCTCTGAGTGATTTTTTAAGATTAGGAAACAGAAAAAAAGTCTATAGGTCTGGTAAATAAGCTGGGTGTAGCAGGATTTCAAAGCCGCACTGATTTGCTGTGTGGACTGCTTATTGTGCCCTGTGTGCACGGGCGTTGCCATGCAGTAGGAGGGCCCCATTACGGAGTTTTCCACACCTTCTTTCTCACCGATTCGGATCGCAATCTCTACCGCAAACCCGAGTGTAGTATCCTGTGACAGTTTTTCCATTTTCCAGGCGGTCAGTCATGATGATACCTTCACAATCCCAGAAACAGGACAGCATGAACCGTCCACTTGACGGTGTTACATTTGCCTTCTTTGGTGAAGGAGAAGAAGGGGTTTTAAATTGCAAGGAGGACTTTTTTGTTCCGGATCAAAATTATGATAAATCCATGTTTCCTCCAAAGTCACCATGTTTTTAAAGAAAGTTGTGTCATTGGACTCAATTCGAAGAAGAGTTTTGCAGAACTCAACTCAAAATTCGTACAAATATCTTGGTCTTACAATTGACAACAATTTACATGGCAAAACCACGTAAACAATATCGTTAAAAAGGTAAATCAGAGGCTGTACTTTCTCAGGAAACTTAGGTCTTTCAATCTGAATCCATCCATCCTTCAGATACTCCATTACGCTAGCATGATTCCTGCATACACAGACCAAGGACTTATTGAACCCCCTCGTACGGCGCTCGCAACTGCATAACGGTCATAATATGAGCGCGTGGGACACATTTAACTTCTTCAGTTGGTAGAAAATTATGAATTTTGCCCTAGTGGTGGGCCAAAGCCAACTATTATCGATTTTAGACCACCAAGGGATCTTTAACGCGCGCACCTTGCACATGGTACCTCCAAGATTTTTCACCCTGGTCGGAGAAGGCTAGGTCTGTGGTTTGAATCCGAGAGAGTCCAATTCGACTCTTTTGCGTGACTACCATTGACACAAATCGGTAATACTAAGACTTGATATAAATATTAACCATGAACATGATGAAAAAATACTCTATATAATGATAATGATAATGATATGATTATATAAAAGATAATGATGTCATATTGACGGTAGCCGTAATGATAACAGCAATAATGATAACAATAAAAGCAATAAAGACAATAGCTAAAAAAACAATACTACTACTACTACTACTACTACTACTACTACTACTACTACTACTACTACTACTTGCTGCTGCTACTGCTGCTACTGCTGCTACTGCTGCTACTGCTGCTCCTACTGCTGCTGCTACAGCTGCTACTGCTACTGCTACTACTACTACTACTACTACTACTACTACTACTACTACTATTACTGCTACTACTACTAATGATAATAATAGATAGCATTAATTGTCGAACGCCCGACCCCGCAACCGCACGATTACGAGTCCGATAGCCTAACCACTAGGCCACCGGCTACTACTACAACTTTACAACACGACGACGATGATGATGATACTGATGATGATGATGATGATGATGATGATGATGATGATGATGATGATGATGATGATGATGATGATGATGATGATGATGATGATATTATTAATAATAATAAGGTGTTTCTTTTCTTAGTTTATTCGCCTCAGCGATGAAAGAATACAAAATAATTACATCAACATATACCCTGCCACCTGGAGCTTTACCTGCCAGCGTTCTAAATGGACGGCTAGTGAACGGAAACCTCACTTGCTTACAATGGCGTCTAAGAAGACGGACTTTCCCAAGATTAAATCTAAACGAAATTAATGACAAACTGAAAATTAAAATACAGTGATTTCAGGCTCCTCAATAAAACTGTGCACCTTCTAAATGATTCTGAACCACCATTAATTTTGTCAAATCCAAAAGTTAAATGATTCGGAAGTTTTTGGTGGCCAAAGTGACGGACTTTCACAAATATAATTTACAGAGATAGAGGAGATGTCATTAGTACCCAGTGTTAACGACATGATTCTAGAAGAAGAAGAAGAAGAAGAAGAAGAAGAAGAAGAAGAAGAAGAAGAAGAAGAAGAAGAAGAAGAAGAAGAGGAGGAGGAGGGGGAGGAAGAGGGGGAGGAGGAGGAGGAGGAGGAAGAGGAGGAGAAGAAGAAGAAGAAGAAGAAGAAGAAGAGGAGGAGGAGGAGGAGGAGGAGGAGGAGGAGGAGGAGGAGGAGGGAGAGAGGGAGGGAGAGAGAGAGAGGGAGAGAGAGAGACAGAGAGAGAGAGAGAGAGAGAGAGAGAGAGAGAGAGAGAGAGAGAGAGAGAGAGAGAGAGAGAGAGAGAGAGAGAGGGGGTGGGATTGGGGAGCGGGGGAGAAAGTAGAGAAATAGAGAGGAAGAGAGAAAGAGACAGATAGATAAATAGATAGCTGCGTCACTCCAGCTACGACGCATTACTATTTGGAAAATAAGTTAGCAGTTAAAACTACAACAAAAACTGCTACAAACAAGTTCCACTTATTTTGTGATGACTTAAAAAAGGGGGGCGCCAAAGATTTATAGAAGGCTCGATCAGGAATGTAGAAGTCGGAAACACGACATAGTCTGCTGATGCGTCCTAAGTCACTGTTCCTGCACTCTTTGGGCAGGAGAGTACACTCCTGCTGTCTGCGCATGCCAAGAACGACATCGTGACACTTTGAAGTGTCGTTTTCAGCAATGATGGCGTTAGTCTCACATTGAATCTGGTCAACTCGGATTCTGAAAAAGTAGAGAACACACATGGTTAGTGATTATTCTGCTACTATTATTATTATTATTAATTATTATCATCACATCATCATCATCATCATTATCATCATTGTATAAAGAAGGTATTAAAACAGTTAAGACCTTGTTGTATTTCCAGAAAAAAAATATTTTTCACAGTTCAACGTTTCGCCAATAAGGCTTCATCGGGAACATAGTATTTGAGAAAAAATAAATAAATGAGTGATGTCGCCACATCATCATCATCATCATCATCATCATCATCATCATCATCATCATCATCATCACAGTCAATGAGGAAAATACAAAAGGATAAGATGAACAAAATAAAGCAAACAAAAAACCAAAAGAAGAGATCCTCCATCATCAACAGGCACATCAAGATTTTACCTGCAGATGTCATCCCTGAACTGCGCTTCGGTGACATTGAGGTCGGCCAGCTGTCCCTCTAGTGACATCACCTTACTGACCACTGTCTGTCTACAGGCCGACACCTCCCTCGTCGGCTGCCGGAAACACTTCACTGCGTCCTCATAAACTGTCAGGAGTAGTGGGGGGTGAAGGTGGGGGTTGGGGGAATGGGGGAAGATGGAAGAGGCGAAAAAAAGGGGAGGGGGGAGAGGGGGGGAGACAAGATAAGACGAAAAGAGGCGAAACTATGAAAATGAGATGAAATGAGATGTGGTGAAAGGCGTTAAGATTATATTAATGAGTTGAAACGAGATTATAATTATCAGGAGGTGAGATATGAATTAGATGAGATGGAAGGGGATTAAATAATAATAATAATAAATGACATTTATATAGCGCTCAACCCCGAATAAAGTACACAGGCTCTGAGCGCTTTACAATACAGTACAACATACAACAGTAACATGAAACGTTGTGTTCTGACAAAAGAAAATTATTCCAAATATTCATCTTATTAATGTAAAAACAGAAACGACTTCAGTTGACATTTGAATGAATCAAAAGACTTGATTTCTCTCAACGTACTTGGTAAAGCATTCCAGATCTCGGGGCCTTGGTATTCAAATGCTCTTTCACCCATTGTTTTAAGTTTCATAGATGGTAAAATAAATTTCTTATTGTCAGCTGATGACCTTAAACTGCGAGTTGGAATGTGCAGTCTTAACAGATTTGACAAATATGATGGTGCGTTATCATTCAAACATTTGTGACATATGGTGGCCAACTTGTACACAATCCCTTTCTCAACAGGAAGCCAATGCAAAGTTCGTAAAAGAGGTTTAACAGAGTCTCGCTTTCTTTTCCGTAAAACTAAACGTGCTGCATTGTTTTGGACAGCTTGAAGTCTTTTAACTTTCTCCAGTGATATTCCTGATAACAAGGACTTACAATAATCGAGTTTTGATAAAATTAAGATAGTTACTAGTAAAGCAGTATACTTGGTATTGATCAGATGACGTATTTTACTAATTTTTCTTTTGTCTAAATACATGCAGCTGATCAGATGATTTACCTCAGCCGACATTGACAAACTGGAATCAAAATAAATGCCAAGATTCTTAAATTTTCTTGAAAATAAAACTTTTGCATCACCAATTGTAATGTGATCATGGTCAACCTCTTTTACAGACTTTGCATTGCCTTCCAGAATGACTTCTGTTTTATTATCATTTAACATCAATTTATTTTTGTTCATCCAGTTTTTCACTAAGGCAATACAATTTATTTTCAGCACGATGGACAAGTTCATCTAAGTTGGTAAACAATGTTGAACCATAAATTTGTGTATCATCAGCATAGAAATGGTATTTTAAGTCATATTCAACTATTTTCTTGACAAGTGGTTGAGTATAAATGGTGAACAAAACTGGACCGAGGACTGAGCCCTGGGGGACCCCATACTTAACAGCATGATCTGATGACTTAAGCCCTTTAATAAAAAACAGATTGTTAACGATTTGACAGGTAAGAAGAAAACCAGCTAAGGGCAGTCCCGGATAATCAAAAAGACACTTCCAATCCCTTCAACAAAATATGATGGTCAATTGTATCAAAAGCTGCTGATAGATAACAGGCTCAGCAAAACAACTTTTCCTGAATCACAATCAGTAAGCATGTCATTCATGACTTTAAGAAATGCTGTTTCTGTGCTGTGGTTAGCTCGATAGGCAGACTGGAATGGCTCTAACACTAACAGATTGTTTTCTTGTAAAAGATGACGAAGCTGCTCGAGGACAACCTTTTCAAGGATTTTAGACAAAAAGGTAGATTTGAAACAGGTCTATAGTTCTTTAAGACATGCTCATCTAAGTTTTGTTTCTTTAGCAAAGGTTTTACCAGAGCGATTTTAAACGAATCTGGTACTGATCCATACACTAGAGAATTATTTATGATTTTAGTAATAAATGGGATCAGTTCGTCAATGCAGGAAGATAACAGAGAACTAGGGACAGGGTCGAGATCACAATGTTTGCTGGGGGATTTTAGAATTACAGATTTAATGTATTCTTCAGAAACAGGTTTAAACTTATCACCCCATCATATACATCAAAATCACAACATGTCTTATAGTCATCAAGGTCGTTTCTTAGTTTCTGGACTTTATCTGTAAAATAATGAGCAAACTTTTCGGGTAGTTCTTGATTGCTAAAAGAATTCGGGAGACGTGTCTCTTTGACCCTCCCTAATAGTTCATCCCAAATGCTGAATAATTGTTTACATGATTTTGAATTTTCCAATTTAGAAACATTGTATTTCTTTTTAGCACATTTAGTTACAAATCTCAGCTCTTGCTTCTTTAATCTAAAAATGTGCTTGTGGATGGTGAGCCCTGTTTTAAGCCATTGTCTTTCTGCCTTCATGCATTCGATTTTGGCCGCTTTCACCTCAGCCCCGAACCATGGTGCATACGGTCTAGTCGACAGACGACGAGTTACAAGTGGTGCGTGCTTGTCAAGAACTGCCCTAACAGTGGAATTATACAAATCAACACAGACTGTTTTAAAGTTACTTACAGATTTCAACAAATCCATTTAAAACTTATTAATGTCAATTCCTTTGATGTTCCTTGTAGACACAGAATGTTTTTCAAGCTTGGTCTTAGTCACATCCAACACAAGTAAGATGAAGTAATGGTCGGAAAATAGTTTGTCTACAACATACATTTTTCTAAAAGCGTCCGAGTCTTTCTTGACTCAGTCAAGTGTGTGGCCAGAACGATGGGTGGGTTCAGTGATGACCTGAACCAAGTTGTGCTGTCTGAATAATTCTGTCAAATATTTGACTCCAGGTGACGATGGAGAATCAAAGTGGAAATTAAAAACACCAAGCACAACAGGATAACCTTTTTTGACCGAAAATGACGATAAAAACTTTGAAAATTCTTTTAAGAAAGCAGACTCCGTTGACTTGTTAATCTTGCTGTATGGTGGGCGGTAAATACAAACGACGTTATAAAATTTGGAACCAAGATCCATAGATAAATGCATAGCTTCAAACGTTACGTGGTCACACTTAAGTGCACTAGTTGTTATTTTAAGGCTCAAAGAACTTCTGAAAATGGCAGCAATGCCTCCCCCTCTTCGAACTTGGCGCGGAAAAAATTTAACGACGTAGGTTGGGGGTACTAAATTAGCGAGTGTCACCTCATCACCACATGGTGCTAACCAAGTTTCGGTGAGAAAGAAGATGTCAATATTTTTCTCTGTGATGATGTCGAAAATATCTTCAGTTTTGTTTCTACACGATTTAACATTCATATAAGCCATCCGTATGTGTTGGCTGTGTTCCTGGAAAATATTGTCTGCATTAATTCTGTATAAGTTGGTGTGACACACTTTTCTGCTCTTGGAATTAGAATTATAAGAAGAACTCACTTTTCTAATGGATATTTTGACTTCTATTTTCCCCTTTGTGACCTTTTAGTTTTTGGTATCGATTTAAGTTGTTTTTTTCTAAGTCTCCTCATAACACTTGGAGGTATGAAACCATGGTCCTGAGGTCGAAATGACAACAGAGTGTCTGGAGAGTATGTAATTCTATTGTCCTCTTCAGTGAATACACTGTCTGTGTTAGAGACAGCCTCACCACAGGCTGGGAGTCCATTTGAAAAAAAGTGTTCACTTGTCAAAACAAATTCGTTGGACATTTTAACAAAGAGACCTGACCTAAAAATGAGTAAAACAAGTAGACCAACACAGACTCCACTTGTCCACCAACACAGAAAACTTGAAATAACGCTGGTAATTTTCATCCTTTCAAGAAAATTTTATATCACAAAATCTTAACACACATGATGGTATAATTTTTGAAAATGTCCAGAAATTGAAACGGTCAAAAACACCACAAAATAGTATAAGAACAAGAAGGCTGCCTGTTGGCGCGATCACAACTCACTACTAATCCATACACACGCAATCAGTGAGATGGAAGGAGGTCAGATCATTCAAGCGATTGGGTGAAATTATAATAGCAATGAGATGAGGTGAGATTATATTGAACTTATTGAGACAGGAGTAATCCAGATGATTAATAACTGTGACTGTTTTACGCTCCAACTGACACAATATAGATTGTATAGGAGGGGGCTACTTCTACCTAACAGCTGCACCACAGACGCTGATCCTTGTGCTCTCTGGGCTAACATGAAGACAGGAATATTACAGTGAAACTACGTATTTGTGTGTGTTGCCTACTATTGTAAACCCATTGGTTGAGATGTAAAAAGAAAAAAACACCATACATTGATACGACTTAGTTCTCCGTATTCTCAAACACTTGTAACCCCTCACCATCAATGTATTGGCGTCTGTAGTGTAGCAGCTAAGCGCTTCACCGTTGCACGCTCGCTGAGGATGTGAGGTCCATTCATGAATCGGGAAATTTTAATACAGATTCTCTGTTTTCAACAGAAACATTATACCCTTCTCAGCCCGGTTGGCACCTACAAACAGTGCCGAAGCAGCCTGCCTCCTAGATCATCTAAATTGTGTCGATAGGGGCCAAAACATGTACAACTTTTTTACCATCAGTGTGATTACACAAGACTGTATACGTCGAGTTGAGTCTCTCTATGTCCAAGCTAAACTTCCTCAACATGATGGGGGAGTCGTTGCACTGTACGGCAGATAGCTTGAGGCATTGGATTATCGTGTTTTTCACTCTGAGGAGAAAAATTACCCATGAGACAAGACGAGATAATGGATGGTAGTTTAAGATTGCTTGTACATTTTACAAGCATGGATTGACAAAACTTATAACAAATATGAGAAGACTGTCAGAACCATACACAGGTTAAGTGAGAATCTACGTCTTGGCAAGAAAAGAAAATTCCTGGACACCAGAAATTCTCCACACGGGAATCAAACTCCTGTCTTTTTAATGCAAGACGTCGAAGGAATTCCGACCTTTCAGTATTTCACAAAATTTGTTTTTTTGTGTTTTACGAGGCGATATGATAGGCAGACAGAGGTAACTGCATCCAAACATCCCTTCTTCAACAGGGCATTGACTTTTAACCAAAACAAACCGTGAAAAATAGACGAATATAAAAAAAACAACTGAGCCCCCCCCCCTAATAAAAAAGAATGCAAAAAATAAATCAAAACAAAAAACAAAACAAAAACAAAAAAGCAAAACAAAACAACCAAACCCAAACAAACAAACAAAATAGAAAGAAGAATGTCCAAAATTGAGACCACTCCACCCCAAAGAAAAAAGGAGCGAAAGAAAAAGTCAACATCAACATCAGCAACAGCAGCATCGGCATCAACAACGACAAAAACAAAAACAAAGAAAACACACTCGCACACACACACACACACACACACACACACACACACACACACACACACACACACACACACACACACACACACACTCACACACACACACACGCTCAACCTACTGACAGAATCGCTCCACTTCCGTTTTGTTGACACCCAAGATGGCGTCTCGTCTTTCTGTGACGTTGAGAAACACGAGGCCCCTGCCAAAGTTTTGGTCCCTGTAGCACTTGGTTAGAGTGTCGGCAAATGTTTTCCTGCAGGCTGAGTGTGAGGAGAAGAGATGAATAAACTACTGAAGCAGCAAGAAGGTCGATTATTTGAGAAAACCTCCCAAAGTTTGAACTGTTATTAGTTCTCATGTTTCGGGTAATGACTCTTCTTTAACAGATACAGCACACATGTACACAGACACTTATAAACATAAATAAAAACATAGACACACACACACACACACACACACACACACACACACACACACACACACACACACAATGCGCTTGCAGTGCACACAGCAGCCGTGAGTTTGATTCTCGTGTTGGGAGAATTTTAATCGAGTGTCTACGTCTTTCTGCTGGGATATTGTGTCCCTCATAGCCTCTCTGCCACTATCTCTGTCTTTCTTTTACTCTCTTCTCCTATCTCCTGGCATTTACAAGACCCAAAATAGAGTTGATAGTTCCAAGAAAATCTACCCCGTCAAAATGAACCTTGTATCTCTTCTCTCTCTCTCTCTCTCT